GTACACATAAATTGAATTTGTCTCCATTTAACCCAACAACGAAAGTTGCGAAGGTTGTTCTCGACGAAACGACAAGGAAGCTGCGCGCACAATATTTCTTTGGGCAGCACTTCCTTTTCACAAATGAGCTACATCTTACGCTCACCGAGCAACTCCAGCGTTCCATTGGCGTCCGACGTGGAACCACAACCAGCGACACTCACGAGTGTTTTACTCTTATTATACCCAACGAATCTTTCAAAACGCTTTTAACCGTTACTTTATATTGAGCAATTTTAAAACTTTGAGAAATTACAACACCTAACACGACTTGTGAATACCCTAAATATGCATTAAATTACACATCGAAATTTGTAATTACATTGTTTGAATTATATCAGAAACAATCGCATCCGATATAGAAAACTGTAATAGGGTAATTCTCTTATCGTTCTCGAGTCTATGACGAAGTTTGAGAATTACATTAGAATTCGATTCGCGAACGATTAGAGAAACAACACAAATTTAAATAAATGTAAATAAGCAATATTTCAAATGAAAGAATCATAACTTATGTTTAAGTTCAAATAAATTTTACAAACAAAGCGCTTTATTTAATAAAGCAAAACAGCATTTTGAAATTCACATTCGATTCCCATAAGAGATCAACATTAGAATTCGATTATATAATTAATATTTTCTCGAGTTGAGTACTATGCCCCATTTTTGTTGAGATCGCTATGATTCTTGATAATTTTTAGAGTCCTTCTCTAACGTTTGAGACTGGAGAATGTGGCTAGTTCTCCAATTATTCTTTAATCTATAACTAACCTCAACTTTGCTGGGTTTGAACTAATTAACTTGAACGATTGGTAATAGAAAAAAATTCTTGATTTAAAATTTAAAATGATTTCACACTTACACAGCTCTGATATATATACATTAGGGCGATTTTTTGCAACTATTGTTTTTTTTTTACTCCTATCTCAAAATTATGTGGAAAACACCAAAAAAAGCTCACTGAAAATTTGGGTTAATATTAACATTAAGTACTCGCCCAAGGCGTGCGAAGATTTCCCATATAAAGTACACGTAAACTTTGATTTTTTTTCTTAATAAGTCTTCAGCTCAGTGGAATTTTATGATATAATCTTGGTCACTAACGGGCTTTCTTCAGAATGGAATGCTCTACAAAAGTGTCCATTGCGGTGTAATCCTAACTCCCACCACCGACCGAGTTAGTACGGGTCACTGAACCCAATTTTTTCATGAAATTCTCGTTTTTTTGCCCCTATCTCGAAAATAAGAAGAGCTATAGTAAAAATATAACCAGATCGCCCTAACTAAGTCGAATGATTGAGCAATTATATATAGATACGTTGAGAGTGAGTCAAGAAAATGTTTAAACGCTTATATTTTAGCACCTACTTCACCGATTTTAAATCTGACAATTTTTGGATAACCTATGGAGCTTGCACTTTAATTTCAATTCTGTACCTACACCAGACCGCCCTAACTAAGTCGTATGATACGTATAGATACGTTGAGAGTGAGTTAAGAAAATGTTTAAACGCTTATATGTTAGCACCTACTTCACCGATTTGAAATCTGACAATTTCTGAATAGCCTATGGAGCTTGCACTTTAATTTCAATTATGTAAATATACCAGATCGCCCTAACTAAATCGTATGACTGAGCAATTATATATAGATACGAGTGAGTCAAGAAAATGTTTAAAGGCTTATATTTTAGCACCTACTCCACCGATTTGAAATCTGACAATTTCTGGATAACCTGTGGAGCTTGCACTATAATTTCAATTCTGTAGCTACACCAGATCGCCCTAACCAAGTCGTATGACTGAGCAATTATATATAGATACGTTGAGAGTGAGTCAAGAAAATGTTTAAACGCTTATATTTTAGCACCTACTTCACCGATTTGAAATCTGACAATTTCTGGATAGCCTATGAAGCTTGCACTTTAATTTCAATTCTGTATTCTAGGTGCTTAAAAAAGAAAGTGATCTAACCTATTTTTATTTCTTGCTTTCACGAAATAAATAAATTAATTAAACTATTAATAACACGAATCCGAATCAAAATTCCACGGATATTTGGTAAATATTTTTAAAAGATTACAATGCTCACTATTATTTTTTCTGCCAGTTTTACTTTTGTGACAAACACGGTAACCGCATTTGTAGCTTGCACTTTAATTTGATATACAACTCAGTTCTGTAGCTTCTCCAGATAGCGCTAACTAAGTCGTATGACTGAGCAATTATATATAGACTAGTAATAGCCCCCAAAATTCGGGTGAATGCATTAAAGAAATAGTTGCAGATATTATCTATGTAAGTATTTAAACTTAGGTAAAAAACAAGTAAGAAAATCTAAGTCCGGGTGGAGCCGAACATTAAATACCCGGCGCAAGTATTAAATATATCTTTTTTCACCTTTCCGAAAGCTACCTCTAGGTGGTAAGCCGGGGTGTATCAATTTTGAGTAAATTAGCGTCCTTAAAGTTTCAACCATTCTGAAATTTACCGTTATATGAAAAGCGGCCGTAATTTTAGTCCGATTTCAATAATTTTCAACGTTTTGCTTTTATGTGGCAAGCACAATAAAAATACCGAGTTTGGTACAAATTGGTAGAACGAATACCGATATACATATATGTGATCATTTTCCAAAATTTTACCATAAACGTATTTCTTGGTAAAGTATTGTTGCAGGCATCAATTTTGAATAAATTAGCTTTAACATTTACTGATTTATCGAAGATTTTGTATTTCTCTAAATTACCGTTATATGGAATGAGGGCGTGGTTATTGTCCGATTTTTTAAATTTTCGGCCATTTAGTATGCTGTACCAAGGCCAACAACTGGGCCAAGTTCGGAAGAAATTGGTGCAGCGGTTACCAAGATATACACATGTAACCATAAGTGGGCATTTATGTATACATTTGTCTATATCTATCTCGATTCGTTTTAGCTGTTACAAACAACCGTTATGTGAACAAAATTAGTATACCCTTGTGCACAAGTGCGCTCGGGTATAACAATTTTTAGACGAAAAATAAGAATATTATAAATTTTTGGAAAATGGGCGTAGCCACGCCCACTTATGGTTACATGTGTATATCTTGGTTACCGCTGCACCAATTTCTTCCAACCTTGGCACAGTTGTTGGCCTTAGTACACCATACCAAATGGCCGAAAGTCTTTTAATTCAGACAATAACCACGCCCACATCCCATATAACGGTAATTTAGAGAAATACAAAATCTTCGATGAATCAGTAAATATTGAAGCTAATTTATTCAAAATTGATGCTTGCAAAAACTCTTTACCAAGAAATACTTTTATGGTACAATTTTGGAAAATGGGCGGGGCACCGCCCACTTATGATCACATATATGTATATCGGTAACCGTTCTACCAATTTGTACCAAACTCGGTGTGGTTATTGTGCTTGCCACATGAAAGCAAAGCGTTGAAAATTATTGAAATCGGACTAAAATTACGGCCGCTTTTCATATAACGGTGAATTTCAGAAATGCTTGAAACTTCAATATTTCGAAATTGAAGGACGCCAATTTACTCAAAATTGATACACCCCGGCTTACCATCTAGCGGTAGGTTTCGGAAAGGTGAAGAAACATATATTTAATACTTGCGCCGGGTATTTAATGTTCGGCTCCGCCCGAACTTAGACTTTCTTACTTGTTTTTACTCTCATTGATTTGTGCTCATCGCTTTTTCGTAAGACTTAAATATTTACCTAAATTTGAGTTTCAAATGTTCAACTTTTTAAATTAAGTATTGTCAAATAATTGAATGTCAAAAATTGTCCTTATGAAACACGCTGCGCAAAGTTGCCCAATTGCCCGAATATGAAACTTGCGCATATAGATGAGTACCCTTATACTTTTTCTGTTCCAAAATCTATAATCGGTAATGCCGAATTTCCACTAGGCATTGAAATGACAAAAATTGGAGGAATTAAAAAAAAATCCGATGTGGAAATGAATTGAATAACTTTTTTTTTAATAATGGCACGAATATTTTCTAATGCCCAACCAAAATGTCACTGTTTGAAAAAATCGTGGTACTTTTGCTTAGTGTAAGTTTTTAATTGCATATTCACTATCATATAAGGTGGTGTTATTAGAACAGTGGATTTTTTTTGGTCTCACGGCGTATAATGATAAAATTAAAATATTTTTATACCCGAGCGCACTTGTGCACAAGGGTATATAAATTTTGTTCACATAACGGTTGTTTGTAGCAGCCAAAACGAATCGAGATAGATATAGACAAATGTATACATAAATGCTCAGAATGAATAGAGAAATCGATTAAGCCATGTCTGTCTGTCCGTCTGTCCGTCCGTCCGTTTACACGATAACTCGAGCAAAAATTGAGATATCTCAACGAAATTTGGTATGTAGGTTTCTGCTAATCCAAGGTAGGTTGGTATTGAAAATGGGCGAAATCGAATTGTAACCACGCCCACATCCCATATAACGGTAATTTTCGGAAATACGAAAACTGCGATATTTTAGTAACTACTGAAGATAATTCACTCAAAATTGATATTTGCAACAATTTTTAGACGAAAAATAATAATATTATAAATTTTTTGGAAATGGGCGTAGCCACGCCCACTTATGGTTACATGTGTATATCTTGGTAACCGCTGCACCAATTTCTTCCAAACTTGGCACAGTTGTTGGCCTTGGTACAGCATACTAAATGGCCGAAAACTTAAAAAATCGGATAATAACCACGCCCACATTCCATAGAACGATAATTTAGAGAAATACAAAATCTTCGATAAATCAGTAAATGTTAAAGCTAATTTATTCAAAATTGAAGCCTGCAACAATACTTTACCAAGAAATACGTTTATGGTAAAATTTTGGAAAATGGGCGTGGCCCCGCCCACTTATGATCACATATATGTATATCGGTATTCGTTCTACCAATTTGTACCAAACTCTGTAGTTTTATTGTGCTTGCCACATAAAAGCAAAACGTTGAAAATTATTGAAATCTGACTAAATTTGCGGCCGCTTTTCATATAACGGTAAATTTCAGAAATGGTTGAAACTGCAATATTTCAAAATTTAAGGACGCTAATTTACTCAACATTGATACAACCCGGCTTACCGCCTAGCGGTAGCTTAAGGAAAGGTGAAAAAACATATATTTAAAACTTGCGCCGGGTATTTAATGTTCGGCTTCACCCGAACTTAAACTTTCTTACTTGTTTTTATTTTATTTTGTACTCCTACTATCACCTTACACATGTATATTCGCCTTGTTCACTATTGAAAACAAACTTTTTCATTCGTAGGCAACAACGATTCTGGTCTTCATTGTGGTGGCAGTCTGATAAACGAACGTTACCTTATTACGGCAGCCCATTGTGTTAGCAAACGAATGCTCCCTGCAAGTTGGGCTTTGACTGGAGTTCGTTTAAGAGAATGGAATCAAGAGACCGAAAGAGATTGCCAAATTGATAGTCGAGGTAATTCGCTTTGTGCTGGCCTGTACTTGGACGTCAATGTTGAAGAACAATTATGCCACCCCCGATACAATGTAAGGACTCAAGCAAACGATATAGCATTATTGCGTCTTCAAGAAAAAATCAACTTTAACTATTTTGTTGGGCCGATTTGCTTAGCAATGGATACAAAACTTCGTTTGGACAACTTTGAAAATGCAACAATGGACATTGCAGGGTGGGGAGCTACCGAAACGAGTAATAAAAGCAAAATGAAACTTAAAGCATTAGTTAGAGGTCAAAGTCTTGAAAAATGCAAAAATAAATACCGTACTGACGCAAGGATTGATCTTGGGGACACTCAAATGTGTGCTGGTGGTGAGAAAAGCATTGACACCTGTCGTGGTGATTCCGGTGGACCGCTGATGTTTCCACACAAGTTTAACGAATTGGAATCATACTTTTTGGTCGGTGTGGTTTCTTTTGGGCCGACGCCCTGTGGTCAGGAAGGTTTTCCAGGCGTTTATACTCGTGTGGGTTCTTTCGTAGATTGGATACGATATACCATTAGAAAATAAAAAGAGTCATACAAGTAAATACTATCAAATAAAACACCTCTTTGAGGTAAAATTTTCGAGTGCCGAAAGCTGAACTAGAAACACAAAATTTATGATATCAATTTCGTTACGAAAATTATACGCATTTTTAACTGCCTTTGAAACGTAGGGAAAATCTTTTTTATTCATACGAATCGTTGCAAAAGTTCTGTTTTTTATTTTGTGCTTGTAGCAGTAGACGCAATTTCGCAACGTTCCGAATAAATAATAAAAGATTTTCCGTACGTTTCAAAGGCAGTTAAAAAATGCGTATAATTTTCGTCACGAAATTGATATCATAAATTTTGTGTTTCTAGTTCAGCTTTCGTCACTCGAAAATTTTACCTCAAAGAGGTGTTTTATTTGATATCAATTATT